GTTAAATGGAATTCTTTATATATTTATAATAGACATAATATAAGAATATTCTTTTTATTTTTTATTTTTATTTATTTATTTGGTTTTTGGTCCTTTTGAGACAGGGTCTTCCTGTAGCCCCATCTGGCCTGGAACTCACTATGTAGACCAGGCTGGCCTTGAACTCACCTGCCTCTGCCTCCCAAGTGCTGGGACTAGAGGTGTGCACCACCATGCGCAGCTAAAATACCCTTTTTAAAATAGAGAATCCCGGGCTTGGTGGCGCATGCCTTTAATCCCAGCACTCGGGAGGCAGAGGCAGGTGGATCTTTGTGAGTTCGAGGCAAGCCTGGTCTACATAGTGAGTTCCAGGATAGCTGGGGCTACAGGGAGACCCTATCTCAAAAAGACAAAGAAAAAAAAAAAATAGAATCCAACTTAGTTTTTGTCTGTCTTCTGCCTTTGTGATTTTGTACTCCAATGAAAGCTTTTCTAGAGTCTATGTTACCACTTTTGTTACTATAAGAAATTACTTGAGCCTGCCTTCTCTACATGGAAGAAGGCTGATACTGGCTTCTAGTTCTGCAAGTACAAGGTCTAAAGGTTTATCTGGTGATGGTCTTCCTACCAGAGTTCCAATGTGGTGCAGAGCATCATATGACAAAAGGAGCTTGACTGTCTCTAGAATATTCTCACGAGCATTCCATATAGTACTGTGATCTGGATTTTTGCAAAAACAAGTGTTCGTGTTAGCTTTGTGTGTTTCCAGCCTGAAGGGAAGCTTACCGTCTTTGCTGTTGTGTATCTGACCTCAGGAGTTCAACCTAAGCCTATTGGCTCCGTGCTTAAGCCTTGGCATGGGCGAAATGGCTGCTGGCCAGAAGAGTGCCCTCTTTGAAGCAGCCCGTGAGGCAACCCTGGACCGTGTGACCGCTGTTGTTCAGCAGCTGCCAGCTGTCCATCACGTCTTCCAGCCCTTCCTGCCTGCAGAGCCCACGGCCTACTGGAGCAAGCTGAGTGATCTGTTTGGTAATTTAAATAAGGTCCTCATAGTTGTTCTCTTGCTGTGTGTGTGGTGTGTGCATGTGTGTGTGCACAAAGACTAGCGGTTGACCCTTCAGTGTCTTCCTCTGTCACTCTCTGTCTTACTTTTTTGAGACCGGATCTCTCACTGAACTCATTTCTGCTAGATTGGCTAACCAGCAAGCCTCTGGAATCCTCCGGTCTCTGCCCCTGGTACTGTTATGGACATGCACCACTACTCCCAGATTTTACCTGAGTGCTGGGATTCCAAACTCAGGTCCTTATGTTTGCACAAGCAGCACTGTTCCCACTGAGCCATCTCCTCAGCCCAAGTTATCTTAGTTTAAAGAAGCATTGCAGGGCCAGCGCATATAGTCAGTGCTGTTGATCTGAGCACTGGAAGGTGGACAAAGGTATCTGTGAAACAGCACTGTTTTTAGATCGAAGGTTCATTCCTTGCCACTTCGCCACTCCTGGGTGTAGATAGTCAGAGTTGCAAGACTTTCAGGAAGGCTGGCTTAGACTCGGGGCAAACGAGGTTCAGACTGTATATAGAGCATATGGGTGGGTGTGTACAGATGTGCTCTCTGAGGCAGAGCATCTCCGTGTCCTCAAATTCAAATTCACATGGCACAGGACAGCTTCTGAGGGGGGAGGGTTTATGCTCAGGGTTGCAGTCACTCAATGCCAGTCTCATGTTTTAGGGGATGCCACGGCATACCAGTCCCTGACCACACTTGCCCGGGCCCTGGCACAATACCTGGTGGTAGTCTCCAAAGTACCTGACCATTTGCACGTTCCTCCCGAGAAGGAGATTGATGCAGTGAAGTTTGTGGTGATGATCCTTGAGGTAAGAGCACCTCTGGAATGCAATGTCTCTGTGAGGCCAAGACATCAACTCTCAGTACGAGTGAGACAGTTCATTTTAAAAACTAGCAGCTGACAGTATGGTGGTGCGTTCCTGTAATCCCATTACTTGGGAGGCAGGGGCAAGAGGATAATGAGTTCAGAGATTGTAAAGATGTGCCTGAGTACATAGAAAGTGAATTCCTGTTGTTCCAAGTCCCATCCACCAGACTTCACCTCCTGTCTTCCCTCTCCTTGTGCCACTGCACAGGGAACCAGGGTGCCTGCACTACAAACCTAATGTGGATCCTAATTTTAGTAATGCAGGCAGTGGTATGTTTTAAGTTGGGCATAAACCTGGGCATTTCAGCCATTGATGGTTAAACACTTGGCCCCTCTAAGTATGTACACACACTATAGTTTCATTGCCTTGTTGTATGGCAGCTGCAAAAGAGCCTGACCAGTTCTCCTTAAGGTCCAGAGCTGTGCTCATCCTGAGCAAGGGCTGAATCCTTATACTAGGAAAGGAGTGTCCTGAGGGTGTGCAGTGGAGAAGCCCCACACTGAATCAAGCTGGGTCAGGTAGTCTTTGAGCCTGTCTTTGAGAGCTCAGCCTGGTGGGGAGGACTGGAAAGCAGCTGTGTGCTTTTAGTGCGGAGGGACAGCTGCCAGTCATACCCTGTGCTATGCAGGCAGTCTCATGGTACTTGGTTCTCAGCAGTAACCCTGTAGGGTGGACTCTCAGCTCCCATTTCACATGTAAGGAAAACACCCTAAACTCAGCCTTGCAGCTGGCTGTGATTAAAACAAGCCCTATGGTACAGGAGCCTCTGAGAAAAGCCTCTGGCTGTGGCCCAGGACACATTTCTCTAGGCACAGTAGGGCCACCAGAAAAAGACAGCTGGGGTAGTTGGATATTCTGGTAGAGAGGAGCCTAGAACTTTGGGGCATAGGTGCGTCAGGACTGAATATTAAGGGATTTGGGCATGGCAGCTTAGAAACCTGGGTCAGAGCTTCTGGAAGGACAGGGCTGTCTGAAACTCCTGGATTCTCCATCTTTGCATGGTCTCCCATAGCTAATAATGACACTACTTCTCTGACGGTCCCCAAGTCACAGAGAACTAAGTAGGCATTCTAACACACTGCTTCCCTTTAGGCCCTGTCATGGCATTTGATCCATGAGCAGATCCCACTGAGTCTGGACCTCCAGGCCGGGCTAAACTGCTGCTGCCTGGCTCTACAGGTACCTGGCCTCTGGGGAGTGCTCTCCTCCCCAGAGTATGTGACTCATGCCTGCTCCCTTATCCACTGCGTGCGATTCATCTTGGAAGCCAGTAAGTCTGCCATAGGGTTTTTTTCTTTACTTAGTTGACCTGGTAATCAGTGAAAAAACGTTTTTACTTACCGCCTTCTATTTGCTGAGAACCAAGTTTGGACTTGAGATGAAGTGAATGGATTGTGGGTGCTGCCCTCAGAAGGCCCCATCTATGTACCTCAAGCCTGCGAGGTTTGTTACACTGAGACTTAGCTTGAATTTGCTTTTCTAGTTATTTTTTTGTTTAGAATTTGGAGTTCCAGCTTTTAGAAACTACTTTTTTAAGTTTTATGTCCCTTTGATCGCTCGTCCTAGTCGACAGTTTCATGTTTTTAGCCTTGAATGATTGTTAAGATTACATTCAATAGATGTTAGAGTCAAAGTGTGTCTTCCATACTGTATTGTAGTACTAATACATTGTAAAATGAAAGCAGCTCATTCTTTTCAAGGAACAGTGTCCTCAGCAAGGGTCATTAGCCAAAATTTTGTAAAAATTGGACATTATAGTTTACATGTTAGGATGTTTTGAAGTTTTATGTTTTCAAATTAAACATTATAGAGTGGCGTTTTGATCCTTCATTGTTTCAATTGTTTTCATCTGTGCATTTGTAGTCAACTTGAAAACAAAGTCCCAGAAAATTAATGTTTAAAAGCTAGCCTTCTAGTCACAGTGGTCTTTTAGCAGTACTGCATTTTGAGTGGTCTGATAAAAGCTTTCAGGGTGGAGACAGCAAGCAGGAGACTTAGAAGTCAGGGTGCAAAAGCAAAGTCCTGTTCTTTGTCAATAGCCAGAAGCCTGGTCCTTGCCTCATACTGTCCAGCAGTTCCAGTTTGCCTAAAACAGGTTCTAGAAATCAAAATTTCAGTTGACATAAAATATCACCATAAATTTTTATGAGGTTGAAGAGGGGGAAGATTAAGTAGAGAGAAAGGTTAAAGTGCTTGCTCTCTTGTGGTTTTAGTTGCAGTAGAGCCTGGGGACCAGCTACTAGGTCCAGAAAGCAAGACAAACACTCACAGGGCTGTCAGAGAGGAGGAAGCAGACGCAGACATCCACAGTAAGTCTCACCACCCATTGTTCTTACCTGTGTTTCTTTGGGGACTTCGAATTCATTCACGGAAGAAATAGTATCGTGAGAAATGTGGCCTCGGTGACTCGGTGAGCTTGCTCCTCTTGCTGTCCTCTGGTTCACCCACAGTTTAAGGTTGCATATGCTTCTCTTTGCCTTGACCCAGCCCTGTTCCTCTGGCACATTCCACATCTGTCCCCACAGCCTGGGCTTGTATATTCCTTCTGGAAGCCCACATCTTAGTACTCAGCACTTAGCATATGGCTGTAGTCCCTTTAAGCTGTTTTAGGTAGAGGAATATACCCTCCATGTCTGTGCTCCCAGCATGGGACCTCTCACAGTGTGGCCTGTTAGAAGTGATTGACAGATACTTACTGAATGTGGAAGGAATGAGTAGAAATGTAAGGAGCTAGAAGCCAAAGGAGGGAACGCCCACGCAGTGTGCTTATAACCCAAGCAGCTACTTCAGACATCTCTGTTGGTAGTGTTTACTTGTTTGCTTCCTTGTCTGCCTGCCTGCCTTGTCTGACACAAATGTAGTTCGGGGTGGCATTAAACTCAGGATCCTCCTGCCTCAACCTCCTAAGTGGTGGGTACTAATAATACCTGGCTTCTAAAGGAGTTTTAAGAGACAATTCCTGCTCTTCCTATAGGAAAAAAATACGTATATACTGAAATCACCATCACTTAAAACCATTACGGACTCAGACACATATGACGGCCTTTTTTCTGTTCTTGTGTCTTGGACCCAGGTGTCTGCCTGGTTGTGGCAGTCACGGCAAAGTCCTGCTCTGGTCAGGTGACTTCTTGTTCTCCAAGCCTTCAAGGTTCTGGGACCTTTTGAGTTCCTTGACCCCGGGGCCCTAGAAGCTGCAGCTGTCCACTGCAGATGAAAAGCACGCATCTCTGGGTGTTTGTCTTTCTGCTGGACTACTCTTCCTTGGGTCACCAGGATCCTTATCTATGTTCTGAAGCTCCAAAACTCATAGGTGTAGGAATGCCTGGTCATCACCAGCATCATGGTACAGTCCTGTGATCCCTGCACTGGAAGCTAAGGCAGGAGGATCGTGAATTTGAGTCCAGCCTGGGCTACATAGTGAAAAAACTGTCTCAAAAAGAAAAACAGAAGCAAAAATAGATGTATTACTTTTCTAGTACTGGGATAAAACACCATGGCCAAGGCAGCTTACAGAGGAAGAATTTATTGGGGCTTATGGTTCTATGGGGACAAGAGTCCATCGTGGCTGCAGAGGTCGCCAAAGCAGAAAGCTCAGCACTCACACTCACACGTTCAAGCATGCACAGGAAGCAGAGAGAATGAAACTAAGGGGACAAAGCTATGAACTCTCAAAGCCCACCCCAGTGATGTGCTTCCTCTAGCTAGGCCACACCTCCTGAAGGTTCTGTGGCCTTCCCAAACAGTACCATGAACTGACCAAGTACTCATTCAAACCACCACGAAAGAAATGTCAAATTATATATATATATATA